GCATTCAAACATGTAAATGCGGATGCACGCCGTTTTTATTATTTTTACTTCTTTCTCTCACGTATTTGCCTTTGCCTTATTTTCGCTTCCTTTTTCGTGGATGATCCTTTTCCCAGGCAGGCTTCTTTCTCTTTCTCCTCCTCCTCCTCCTCCTTTTCACTGTTGCAGTGATCACCTCTATTTTCTCGAGACAACCCCGCCGCACCTTTCAACTCGGACAATATTCGAGTCTTCACATCTCTGCGGGATAGGCGGCGCTTCGGTGGTGGGCTTCCGCGGTGTCGCTGTGGCTGGTAGTTACCCATGTTTTTTTTAGTTTTGGGCGCTGATACATGCGTGGGCTTGCTGAGTGTGCATGATTTATTTGCTTTTATTCTGCCCCTTCTCTGCTTGTGCCCTCGCTCTGGTGTTTCTCCCCCCGCGTTGCCTCGTCGCCCTATTTGCTTGCGATGCTGCGACTCGCAGGTGTGCGGTGAAAAAGAAGCGAAGAAAACCAACAACAACCACAGAGTAGGAGGAGGAATGCGGGCCACTGTTCCCCTTTTTTCTTTCTCTTTTTTTTTTGTTTTTGTTTTACCCCACTCTCTCTCTCACTCTCCTTCTTTCCGTGGGCTGGGGCTTAGTATTTCACTCCTGCACGTGTCTCATTATTTCCATAGCTATATTTTTGTCCTCATGGAGTCTTCGCTTGCACCGTCGGGGGAGCGGCCCGATGTATCGGGCTGCGCGCAGGCGTCGCTTAAGCCATTTGCAAAGCTTAGACTGTGGATCTTTCAGATCAGCTGTCGTGCCTATGAAGTGGGACGCGAGGGGAGGCGGCGACACTCGGAAGAGGGGCTGAGCCGCCATCTCGCCCCGAAGGTGCTCTTCCGGGTGTGCTTGACGGGAAGAGAAAGCGGTGGGGGCCGCGGGACGTGTGCGGCAAGCGAAGAGCCGTTGCGCTGCCCTGAGGCCCTGCTCAGGTCAATGCATTCCCCCACCGGCGCAACGGAGGTTGACGGGGCCATGTATGAATTTATGATTTGCGCCTCCCAATACCTTCGGGCCGCATGTGCGTTCTTGGAAGCCGCAAGACAAGCCGAGGCACGAGGCGGGGAAGGTGGCAATCATGGAAGGCGAGGAGTGCTCAATTCCCCAGCCTCGAATGATGACGCCGATGGGGGTTTTCCCTACTCCTCCTCTAGTGGTATAGACGCTTCTGGACGCGCCGAACACCTTGGATCCTGCCAGCATTCGCCGTCTCCAGAAACCGCATTGCCGTTCCCGCCAGGTGGTGCCCCCCTGTACAGCAGTGAGGATGGCACAAGCGCGCCTGCTGGTGGTCGCACTCGCCGCGTTGGTGTTTGCGGCGACGAATGCGCAGTTGCCAGTGTTCAAGAAGCCCGAGCGATGCTTCAAATTGTTATGGGGACTGCCTTTTCATGCCCAAGCGAGGCCCTTGCCAAGGCGTTGCAGCTGATTATTGCTCGGGAACTGGAACAAGCCTTGCGTCCCTTTGAGGCATGCTGTGGAGTTTTGAGGTTTCTTTCCCCACTTGACACGATGCCACGAGCCGTGCTTGCGGAGAGAAGACGCGACGAAGAGTCTGGCTATCTTTACTTTCTAAATGGCACGCAGACAACATCCAGCTTAGCGGAGGCGTTGATGTCCTCTGCCGAGGCCGCAGAGAGGATACAATGGTTTACGGCGCCCTCTTCGGCGGCGGCGTTGCCAACTTTGATGCTCTCCCTCACCGGGGGTTTGGTGGAGCTGCTGGAGGAGCTGCGGCAGGCAGGCGACTCAACGGCAGAGCCAGCGGCGGCGGCGCTAGCGACAAAACCTTCCTTGTCAGACCCTGAAAAATCCTTGCCGAGGCCATCCTTGAGCCGCAGACGGGCTGGAGGTTCCTCGAGTAACAGGAACTTCAGCGGCATTCTTTCGGAGAAGGAGCTATCAAGTGCCGAGGAGGGGACGGCAGCAGCTGCGTCGAAGCAAACGGCATGGGATGCGTTGTGTCGGTGTTGTCTTGCCATTCCAAATTCTGTGCTCACGGATAGGCTCGACTTGCTGTACCGAATATTCTTCAAAATGGGCGAGGTTCCACACTATTATAAGGCTCTCTCCATCTATCCAGACATCTTGCGGGCACACCATGCCACATTTCAGTACATATTCTTTGAGGAAGGTCCACTCCCCATCTGCGAACGTTTGATGATTGCTTTGATGGCAGCCAGTCGTCAGAAGTGCGAGTACCTTTTTTCTCGTTTTGCTGCTCTTTTATTACACTTTGCTGAAAAACAGCAATCGAGTGAGTTCGTTGCGGACACTTGGCTGCTGCAAGGCCCACCGCCAAGGCTGCAGGCGCTTCAACGCTTTATAGGTATTGCCACTCATGTCCCCTGGCAGATGACACTGAATGACATTCGTGGAGCCATGAACGCTGGCTGGAGCATACCTGGTCTTATCCAGGCATCCTGCATTGTGGCGGAAACGCTTTCCTTGTGTAGTTTTGTTATGGGACTTTTCGTGCCCAACGACATATGGGTGTCAATAACACTTCCCCCCTCTCTGCGTGCCGCTCTTTCCTCTAGTCCGGCTCCTGGTGAGGTGCCCCACTATAAAAGCCGTGTGGAGTTTACGCGGTACACGGGTGTTGACAATATTGTGAGTGAGAATCGGGTAAAAGGCTCATCCACCAGCCCCTTTACGCTCTCCTGCGGCACCTTTAACTGGCACGAGCACGGCGGCACTGTGATGGAGCAATATTATCCAGGCGCCGCAACTCTTATTAACAATGAGCTCGACGCTTTCTCTTCCGTAATTCGAACGTTAAACCGCTCGGATTGCGTTGGTCTTACGACGCCGGAGTACTCGCCGTCGAATGCATTTTGGTTCCTGCGTCTGTACGTGCAGAACATTATGGGGTTTATGCCAGATGATTATCCATACAATAGTATCAATAAAGTTCTTCGTCGCCCAGCCAAGTTGATCGCTCAAAGTTGTACGATGCGCCCCGAAACACTGCTAGGTTCTCAAATGCGCTTGTGGGTTCCGACGGGCGGCGATTCGGCGTCAGTTTCTAGCGAATTTCCTGCGGCAACGCAAGCGGCAGTAGAGACTGCGGAGAAGCAGCAACAGCCCGAGTTGGATATGACAGAACAAAAACAGCTGCTTATCGAGTCCCTCACTGCGCACAAGGCGCCATTTAGGTTATGCATGCCGGGGACCGCGACGGGGCCCCGCCCCCAACCTAGTGAGGACGTCTTGGAAGCGGCCTTGCAGCTTCACGAGGAGCGGTTGATGTTTCTTGTTGTGTTGGCCACGATGGAGGCGCGCAAGGAGGGGTTGCTGGCGCTCTTGTTGTATCCGCTTTGGGGACTACTAAATAATATGTAGCGGTGACCAGGCGTGGGGCGGGGAATGCGGAAAGCGGAAGACACGTTCTTCGTCGGTTTCCCGCCTCAGCGAGGGGAGGGCGAGCGAGAGAGAAGAATAAGAAGAAGAATGGTGGTGCGAAGGTGATGTGCAGCAGGACGGCGCGGGTGTAAACCTGGGCCGCCGCCGACACGTCACGCCGGGCGTTGTAGTAGTGGGAGTAGCGGTAGTAGCGGGAGTAGCGGTAGTAGCGGTAGTAGGGCTTGCACGGGGTGTGGAGGCGCAGGAAGCGGCAGCCTCCCTGCGGAGGCCGCGCTGGGTGTCCTGCGCGGTGCTTCCAACCGTGACGGGAGAGAGATGGAAGAAGGGGTGGTGGCTGGGGACGCGCGGCGTCTGGCGTAGTTTCACTCTGGGTTGTTATACGTGTGCAGTACTGCGTGCCTTCCAGCGGCCGTGTTCACCTTCCTCACCTTCTCTCTCTTTCTCTGGCGCGGCACCTGGCATTTGCTCAAAAAAAAACGCCGCAGCAATGCTCCCTCCCTGTACGCCTGTTTTTTTTTTCCTCAAGTTGTTTTCCTCGTCGAAGTCGGTGTGGCTGGAGCGCCGGCGCGACCTCGGTTTTGTGCCTTCCCCTGTATGTCCACCTATTCGCATTGTAGTTAACTCGAATCTGAGGCAAACGGCGCAGTA